AGATAGATGTAGAGAAAGTCATTGACAACTATTCAGACGCAAAAGCGAAGAAAAAACAATTTTGTTAGATAATTTACAAATGAGTTAAAATTATACTATAATCCTATTTTTATAACAATAAATTATACAATTAAATATTTTTGTTTAGATAGCTTAAGGGGCCTGCTCGCGACCTGTTTTTTGCTCAAAAACATGCCTTACAGGAACAACTCTCACGCCTCGTACATTGGTAATTATGGTAGATCCGTAATTATTTTTTGTTAAATAGAAGAAGACTTATTGCAGGGCGCATTGGACTTGGATTTTCAAAATTATTTTTCGAAATCTTATATTACAAGTTTGAATTTACTCCATTTTTACAACTTTTTAGTTTTTGTATTGTTATTTATTTTTAGCAACGTAATCAAAAATCGAAGTCCAATGCGCCCTGTAAAAAATTTTCTTTTATCTAACAAAAAAATAATTATCGGACCAATCTACGAGGTGAGAGTTTTTCCTGTAAACTGTGTTTTGATCGATATAATACACCCTATCAACCCCCCCCCCCTAAATAGGTATTGGGTAGTAATTTAGTGGAAAAGTTTTATAATTAAGGTGGCAACTAAAATATAAAATTTTATTTTCAAATTTTATAGAATTGCGGAAAATTTGAAAAGTTGTGACCAGGCCCTTTAATATAATAATTTAATTACATTTTGTATATTTCGGCCACAAATTAAGATTTGGATTAACATCAGCCCCATAATATGTAGTTGCGGCACTGAATATATATTTTATTTAATAAAATAATATTCACTTAAAAATTATTTTCTTAGTACCTAAATTAAACGAGTAAATACAATACATTAACAATGATAAACTATGAGAAGGGAGATTAAATTAGGTATACATAAAATCCGCTGTAATATAAAATATATAATCATTTGTTTTAAACGTTGTTTTAAATATTATTTGAAGTTTATTTATTTGGTTTCTCTTTAAATGAAAATAATATTTATTAAATATTGTGACATCTCGAGTCATATTGATCATTTTTGATGGGCAGAGTGGAGTGGTATAACCGCAAAATGTTTGTCCACTACTCTGGTTGTCCAAAACTTTAAATACTTATAACTCATAAACTCCTTGTCTTAAATTCAATTTTTATGTATCAAAATACTATATAAAATATTCTCCTTTGAAAAATTAAATTAAAATCTATTCTGTCATTCAAAAAAGTAATAAATTTAGAAAAAATATAAGGATAAAAAGTATGATTTTTTAATAAAATCGTTGTTTTTTTAACAACTTGAAACTATGTAAAAAATATTTTCAAAAACATTAATACTTTTTAAGATAATGAGTGTTCTATGCTTAATGAATCATCTTGCATATAGTATATATTCATTTTTTTAATTACATATTATAATGATATTATAATTTATAAATGACTAACAAGTTTTGTTTTATGTATTTTTTTAATTTATAACTTAAAAGACGTTTTCGACGGTCAGCAGTAATACTTGTTGATTTTTCTTCTTTAGGTATCTGGTACCTATAGGTAATAATGCTAAAATTATATTTTTTTAATTTGATATTAACTTTGACTTCCGACCTATTTATGTCATTTTATTGAATTAGTTTGTATATATTTTATCAAAATTAAAAGGTAAACGCTAGTAGACAAATAATAATAATATAATATATTGCATATAATTTTATAATCGGAAGTTGTAGTTCAAAATATTAAATCCTTTATGAATATTTTAATTATAAATTATCAAAAATATATACGACGACAATTTAGTATATCTAACAAAAATAATAAGACCCTTCGTCGAATGCCGCGGTGTGTCAACAGTTGGCGAGCACTTTGCAGTTTTCAAACAACAACAATCGAGGGTCCCGGGCAATTTATCACCCCCATTCGGTCATTCACCCGTTTCTGACTGTGCAGATAATGTCCCTAACCAGTGTGTGGGGTTGTGGTGGGAAGGGTTGCGTCAAAGTTTCTCCAATATTTTGGGGGTGGGCGACGTTGTTGATTTTCCGGGCCCGCTCATGCGCTATCGCTTCTAATCGGTAACGGCAAAGGCGATCGTCCTGCAGCCTACCCTGCAAACACACAGTATTCTGTTGGCCGTGGTGAGTTGTGATCGTCGTCTCCGTCTTTGTCAAACTGCTGAGGTCTGTCTCAAAAGCATAGTTAGTACACAGTTTCGTGGTCATTTGTGGTAAGTCACGTTGTCAAACACATAAAGGTATATAGGATCCGTTATCAGTTAAATACCAACAATACAACCTATAGTTAAATATATATTATTTTAAATAATTATTTAAATCAAATTAGCAAGATACATAAAGCAGTCTGCAATATTATTATTATTATTTTTTTGTGCCTTACTGCTGTGCTCAGAATTATCATATTTCATATACATAGACCACTGCATATTTGTATTAGCTTTACTTTTATTTATTTCCAATTTACCTTTGCATACATAACGTATTAATTGTGTTCTCAAAACTTACAATGGAGTATGATGAAAAGCAGCATGAGCGTCACATTCACACATTCTTAAATAAATATTTTTTATGTACCTATTACATTATTAAGGATTCAAAAAAATAATAAATTGAGTACCTACTCTACAGTACAATATAATTTATAGTAAAATTAAGAAATGTTATATTAATCACATTTACTAAATTAATAATTTGAGAGTAGTTCTAGGGGATATGAAACATGCCATTGTTAATGAGGCAGTGGTGTCTTTTATGTGGGGTAGTCCGGGGTTATCATGCATCCCCTCCCTCGAGCTTATTAACCTATATAAAGTATACATATTATCCTGTTTGTGAAGACAATACTAAATGGTACCTATTCTAATCAATTGTATCATATGTTGTCACCGACAATAAAGGAATATGGATATTAAAAATGCCTTTATTATCTATATAATTTATGGATAGATTATAATAATTGATTTAATAAGGCGCATTCACAGGCATCACATATACGTCGTGTACCGATTTGTGTAAGAGCGTGGTAATTATGGTTACAACTTACAACTGGTAACTATATTGGTTTAAAAGTTGAGCTAGAATAATATACAAATTCTGAGAACAAAAATAGTCAACCCCTTAGATATTCTTAAAAGTTAAAACCAATAAATATGGGCGCATACTAGTTGCCTTCAAGTTAAAAAGGTCGAAAAGTTGTTACACGAATTGCCGTACGAAGTCCAGACTAAATACGAATTTCCTCCAGACGACCACATTTTATCGTATACGAAAATGTTAACATTGTCGAGTACTAGTTGCCTGCCAATAGGCAGTTAAGAATGTGATAAATATTGTTTAGTAGATAGGGACATTGATAGAGTAAGTTTCCGAATCTTATCGTCCTAAACGATGGCAACAAGGTAGAAATATATATCAATAATAATCTAAAATACTATTATAATTTTTAATTATAGGACCTACCAAATGGTCTTTTTACTGACTAATTATTTATTATTTTTATAGTTTTGTATTATGTGTATAAATTTACTTATTCTAGTGAGAACCGAAACCAATGTATACCTATTACACTTTCAACAATCATAGAATACACGAAATTCATAAGTTTTGACAGATTTATCAATGATGGCGAACAAACTACTAACGAAATATACTGTCCATTTTTAAATCCATTGTAAAGTGAACATTTGATAAAAAATCTTGACGCATATTTCAATAGTACCATTCTACGTTATATATTTTCGACATGGTTCAAGAATAATACATTTTTTTCACATGAAAAAATCAATACATTTAATTTTATCATTAATTAATAAAAACGACCCTCCTCTAGCAGTAATTATTTTTTCCGTATCAATAAGTGTAAGTATGCACATCATTAATATTAGTGGGATTATTAGTTTCCTCACTTTTCCGAGATTTATATTTATTTTTTCTCAGTCTGTAATATCGGTTACAGTAAATGTTGATGCTGCTTGGTCATTATGAGCAATTTCCTTTAATACTACTTTTTTTGGTTGTATATGCATATATTATACAGCTTTACATTTACATCCAACATTTACAATTTGAAATATTTATTAAATCGTAAGATTCGTGAGTAAGTTCTCCAGTTGTTGAAAGAAAAAAATCATTCTTGTCTGAGTATATTAGTGCACTAGAAGTTCTCGTAACACATCTCCAAAGGGTAGAGCAGTCTTTTTTACTTGTTGATCCAAAGTTATATTTAAATTTATTATACACTGCCATACAACATCCTCGTTTACTTTCTATGATTTTGAATTCCATGATTTTACTTAAATATACCAAAATAGTAAAATCGTCAACAATGTTTAATACAAAATTACTGTCGAAAAAGGCACTCAAACACTTCGACTTGAAAGTAAACGAAACTGCACTGAAGCAGTTGTCTAGTTGTCAAATGTTATTACGGCTAGTATACAATTATTATCTTATCTTTATAAAATAATAAGCGGACCACAACGTGATAGATTTATCTAGACGGCGGACCATTGTCCATTGTAGAAATTATATAGTTTCCAAATACTATAAAGATAAGATTAAAATATTGAGAGGCCCATGTAGATATATGAGTAGATATAGTGTTTCCCAAAGTGTGATTATAAAATGTGGCTGAAAAGTGCTATATAATATTCTTGGGCAAAAAGGGAAAGTAGTTTTAAAATATTTGGGCTAAAAGAGTACCGCCCTTTTTATTAATTTTGTCACTTTCAGCAAATGTATACCTGATAATATAATATTTTACGGTAGTCCTATTCTATATATTATTTAATAATAAGTTAATTAATACAAATTCATTTCAGATTCTTTTTAATTACGGCTGATCGGAAAGAAACCATATATCTGCAAGACACTAGTAACACTACTCAAGAGTCTAGAAAAAGGAAGAATCTCTACTTCAGTTAGTGTTTATTGGTATTAATTTTTATTAAATGGTTAATGTTTGATAAAATTGTTGGTTAACTAAAACCGGAGGAAAAATGAATATTGATAGTAAATCTAAGCAAGATGAGGGACTTACAATAAAGAGTGGCAAAAGTAAGAACTCACAATTTAAGTTTGTTTTAATTAATGTTATAGATCAAGGGTCTCCAACTTATAGGCCCTCCAAGATTTTTTTCACTAGCTACAACAATTATTATTTCTTTCGGTGTTATTCGTAACAGCTTATAATAATCAAATTATACTACATACTAAGTACTAACACTAACTAATAATAGAAAAACTCGTTATAAAATAAAAAAAAGAATGTATACAATCATTAATTTTTGTAAATAAATCTTATCTATTCTTCAATTTCTCAACCACTCTATTGAATTAAAAATGTTGGCCCTCGATACCAAAGCGTATCTCAAATTTGACCCACCGTTAAAAAATGTTGGAGACCCCAGTTATAGATTATAGGAGGGGACGTAATGCTAACGCAGTCCCCCCTCCGGTTCTCGATACCATAAGGGAAAAAAATTTTATAGATAATTTTTAAAATTTTAAAAATAGTTGATGATAATGAACAAAATCCCGAAGACAAAGTTACTTCTGCCAAAATAACTACGCAAGAAGATGGAACAGACAATAAAGAGTCTGGCAAAAGTAAGAATACAAAATAACTTTTGTTTTTAGCGATATTAAAAATAATAGTTAAAACAACGATATTTTCTAGATAAAATTATCTGTTTATTTTCCCTTACAATATTAATAGAATTAGAATTCTAATTGACATATAAATACAATCTACAGTAAAGCACTAAAAATGTTGGGTTTTATCAAATGGGTGGCAGCTGAATTTTATTTCTTATCTTTTTTTAAGTTGTTAATTCTAGAATATATCTCAACTCGGAAATTAGAAGTGTCTGAAATTCATAGATTGGATCTTACACTAAACTATATTTCCTTTTAGTCTACTATTCAGTTATCTTCCTATTTTTTTCCCTGGTTGATTTCATGAAACAAAGTAATATGTGTTTCCTAAGCAACTTAGTCAGTGGTTCTGACTCCACAGTGTTAAAATATGCTAAAATATTTCACTTAGGTAGTGCTTATAATTCATTTGAAGATGAAACGGGTATTAACTACAGTACATTTCATTTAGACGACCGTCATCAGCAAACTAAGGATGGACCACCGCCTGCTAGTAAACTAAAATTAACAGCTTAGAATTCGGTGAAAGTAAGTTCTTACTTGACCTTATGAATGTGTTTTATTGATAAATTATAAATATAATGTTTAATTTAGGTAGTTGTAAACTGGCAATTAAAAAGGAAATGTGCATTAAAAATGAACAATCTGGTGAAAGTAAGAACACCTTGCTAATTTTGTTTTTATTTATATTATTAATAAATAAAATATTTCACTTAGGTAGTACTAATAATTCATTTGAAGACGAAATGGGTATGAACTATAGTACATTTGATTCAGACGACCGTCATCAGCCAACTAATACCGAAGAGAGACATACAGATGAAATGTGGTTGGGTAACTTTGAAACATTGGAAAATACTGTTAATAGTAGAAAACGTTACCAAAATCAAGACGAGGGTTTGGACGACAGTGAAAAATATATTTTGAAGAAAATTAAAATTGAAGATACTGGTACTGATTGGTTTGATGATATGTGGACATTTCATCTTAAATATAACTCTTCAAATTTCGGAGAATGGGTAAACATATTATGTATGGTCGATGAAAACAATATTGAAGTAAACGCAAGAATAGCTTACACTAAATTTTTAGAACTGTATCCACTTTGTTACGGTTATTGGAAGAAATATGCCAATTTTGAAAAAAGAAATAATAACATGGATAAGTTTGAAAAAGTCTTAGAAGATGGTTTAATTGCTATACCTATAAGTGTTGATTTGTGGATTTATTACATGACATATCTGAAAACCGAACGTCCTGCTGAAGTGGTCCATATTCGTAATGAGTTCGAAAGAAGTTTGAATTTGTGTGGACTTGATTATCATTCTGATCAGTTATGGCATGATTACATTTCATGGGAAGTGGAGATAAATGAACTATATAATGCAGCTCAGTTATACTACCGTTTGATCTCTACACCAACTTCAAACTATTTAAACAATTTCTTCAAATTTCAAGAATTTATATTCACAAAATTACCTGGAGAATATTTAGAGCGTGAAGAATATACCAAAAGACGAAATATAATAATTCGATCATTGGAAACAACCCATAATAATATAGAGTCATCGAATTATGAATCAATACCACCCGGTGAAGATTTTTACCAGAAAACTGAATTTACCGAAGATAATATAATGTTCTTATTAAGGGTTGGAATTATCAATGATTGGCAAGATAGTCACAAGAAAACTGGTAAACAATTTGAAAGTAGGAAGATATTTGAGGAAAATATACGAAGACCTCACTTTCATGTAAATGAGTTGGATTCTGCTCAGATTGAAAATTGGGATAACTATATAAAGTTCGAGAGAAGAGAGTCCGGAGGAAATCATGAAAGGATAGTACACCTCTATGAAAGGTGCTTGATAACGTGTGTTTATTACGAAGAATTTTGGTTAAATTATTTGGAATATTTGTCTATTGTAAAACATATTGATGTTGCTGATTTATTAACTGATGTATTTGGAAGATCATTATGCTACCATCCAAAGTCACTCCAGTTGAATTTGAAATATATTGATTTTTGCGAGACCCAAGGTTTGGAAAATATTGCTGATGAGACGATAAGACAATTAGAGGTCGATCATCCAGATTCAATGGAAGTTTCTATTAAAAATATTAATTTAGCTAGAAAATATGGTACCCTAGGGACTGTATATAAACATTATTTAAATTCTTCTCAATCAAAGTCTTTCTCCAGTTACATCGCAGTGAGATATGCACGTTTTGTTTGGAAACACGATCGTCAATTAAACCTCGCGTATGATATTGTATGTGATACAATAAGAAATAAAGATGTCAGTGTAGACGACAGCCTTGAGATTTACACAACATTAGTTGAACTGGAAATGGAATTAAATCCCAAAGATCATGTATTAAATACAATTGATGATTTAATATACATCGGTTGAATTTATATAAAGAAAAACTTGTGTTTCAAAAAAAAATTAGAATACGACGCTGAAGATTATATTCAAGATTATGAATTATTGCGTTTGGCAAAAATAGAACACAAACATTTAAAAAGTAAATGTTTTAGAGAGAGAAGACAGTTAAAGAATAATACAATGTAGAAATTAAGGAAAATCACCCACCTATATGTCTTATAGGGTATAGGTACAAAGCACTTCTGGCAAAAAAACTGATTTACAAATTAATATAATTTATAATAATTATGATGCAGTAAGTTGATATTGTCTTATTATACATAACTACTTTTATTTAATAGGTATTTGGAGTATGTTATCATTAATTATATGACTATATACAATATATATATTATTCAAAGTGTGTTAATACATAGGTAATACATTAAATTAATAATTTAATATAATATAACTTTTTTAACTTTATACAAAAAATATACGATACCTGGTTCAATTAATGGCAGCGTATCACCGTGTACCTACAGTAGCCAGTATAAGTATGAATACATGTTTCTCGGGATCTCTAAATGTAGACACCTAGGTAATTCCGTTAAAGGTTGTTATTATAACTTATAAATACATATTTTTCAAATATTAAATATTTTTAAAGTTTTCGCAAAACACAAATGTTTTTTCTTAAAATCTGACAAAATATCTTCTAATAATTTTTGATAACAAAATTATTATTTTTCTGATTATAATAACGATAAGCTTTGAAGTATTGCGCTTATCGTGCTTCACAGTAAAAAATAAATATTTTGCCTATTAATATAAGTATTGAATTAACTGTTCGAACGCGGCCCAATTCTCGCTGACCTACCAAGTCCAATGGCTTTACAAGTCGCGTGATTGGCGCGGAATGTTCGCGACGAGTCGTTCCGCCTCCACGGTGTCCACGGCTCTCGTGCAGGGACACCTTCTCTGTCCTTTGCCAACGCTTGGACCAGGAGGGTGACGTACCGCCGGTTGGCGTCGTGTTGTTGGGCTGTTGTGGTCGACCTCGTGGTCATTCGACATTGTGTTTTTTTTATTATTAATATTTAGTCAGGTTGAACGCTGAAACCAATAATATTATTTGCACACTTTTATACCGTCGTAAACTTCGAGATAGTCGAAGTTTGACGGATTGTGTCACAGCCCGCCGAATTTATTATACGTGTCAACGCTGGGCCGTCGTTCAACTGTTCCACGGTGCCGATTTTGTGGCTGTTGAAGAGGAAGACGCTGTCGCATTTCCAGCGAGGACCGTGCTGACCAAGGAGTATCTGGATTTTAACCTTTCGGCTACAACCTTAACTTCTTTTAGCAGCTGAGCGCTAGTCAAGAGCCACGGAGGCGTCAGTCGACGGCATCAGCCCGGTTTTACCCGTCTGCCGACGACCGGCCGTCAGAAGTGGTCGGCGCAGTGGCGGTGGCCCTTACCCGCCTACCGTGAAGGCGGCCGGAGTTGCATTGCTGCCCGCTCCGGACGCCCGCTGGTTACGGTATCGCCGGCTACACCAGCGAAAAAGGCCCTCACGATTCTGACTCCACGGATGAAACGACAGTTCTGCCTCAGCCGCTGCCCTGGGCAAACCTGGCACCCGTGCTATGTGCTAATGCGTCATCGGTAGGACATGCTTTGACGGCAGCCCCCATCTACCGAATTAACGGACTCTACGGGAAATGAGCCTCTATCGTGCAGCCCCTAACACTCACCGCAATGCCCTGAGACATTGCAGGGTAAACTGGCTAACAGATCGGACGCTGTACTCCCTGATGGGGCGAGCTCCAGCGTTCATGCCCCCGACTCGTGCCTGGAACAACGCCCGTGAGGTCAATAAGCATATTCCTGCTCAACCCCTACCGACACTCTCGCACACCGCGGACGGATCGATCGGCATCATCCTCCTTTGCAGGGGACGGACCTTTGCGGGGCGTTCCACAATCCGCAACCCGGGTACACGTACTATTCCGAGTGTCCTCGGTCGTTCAACACACAGCTAGGCCGTCTGTGGTTTCGATAGTAGACCGTGCTGACTAGTGACCTGCGCCAAGGTGTATATCTTATTTGCTGCTCAAATTATAATTACTATTATTATTACTGGTTGTAGCGAGTGTTGAATGCACGCGGCGCTTACATTTATTATTGATGTATTTTTAGTATTATTATTGTAAAATATATATTGCTCTATTGCGTCTAATCTACTTAAACATATTTGTAAGAGGTAATAATATATTGTGAGTTTACAGTTTACACTCCTTCCGACAACAACATTAGTCGTTGTCGCTAACCACGATATTAAAAGTAGGAGCGGCACGGCGCACATTAACAGTTCAAACATAAAACATTTATATCGTAATGAATACAAGATAAGTAACTAATTAACTTTTTCTCATTTCCTGTAGAGTAAATGAAAAATATTTTCAAAATGTTAATTTAAAACCTTAATATTTTAAAATCGCATACCTACCTAACTATTTTGTTATTCTACTGTTGTAGCTTGGATATAATATGTGAATATATCCCCAATGCCCATAATATGATTAGTAGTAACTAATTGTATTATTATACATTTTTATAATGATATAGGTAACATTATAACACATGTTTGATTAAGTAATACCATTGAGTATATTATATTGTATAAGCATAGGCGCGTCTAGAATTTATTCACAGATTTGACAAACAATGTCCATGTATCTCTCATAATATCGACCTATAAGAGTTCAGAATATGCCTAGCACACCTGAATCTGAATCCAAAAAAATTTACTTGTCGGCGATAAGTTATTAAATATCTTACTATTTTTACTAAAGTGATATTTATTTGATTTGATTCAAAATTCTGAGAGAAGCTGATTTTGTAGGTATGGCCATGGTCAATATGACCGTACCCGTAACCACAGTACAATATAAATTATAATCAAGGGTAAAACAAATGTATTTTTGAATATTAAATAATAATAAAAAAAAATATTTGTTTAATTTTAGTTTTAAATTTTAATTTTTTAAGTACCTATTGTATTTATATTATTTTACGTATCTATCAAAAAAAAAGGAATGCTTACTGTTCAAGATTGTTGTATATTTAAATTTAATTACAAAATATAATATTCATTATCAATTTAAAATATGTCCGTTATATTATTATTTTATATAGTTCTATCACACATAGTATAAACTTTTACTGTTGTCTTTAATTTATGTGATAATTTTTTTCAGATATATTGATTTGATTTATTTAACATGTTTTTCAAGACAGAATAATTGTAATATTAGTTTTAAGATTATAAATTTAAGGATTTTGATTTTTAGTTAGGCGGTAAGAAAGGTCTTATCAAAATGATATAATATAATAGTATTTACAATTTTTTTTTTTTTAATTAAGAAAAAATGTAAATTATTAATTTTGAATTTTCAGTTTGATTATTACTATATTATAAATAAGGTATTATTAATAACATATATAATAAAACAATAATATAATGACTGTGGTAAATATGTTGCATCCCGTAAAAAAAAGTACACATGAATAATAGGTACCTAGGTAATCCCTTCCTACATTGCTCATATCATCACTAAGTGTGTAAAAAGAATAATTCTACATATTATTTCATTTATTTCACATACACGTCTAAATTCATTTGCTATCACTGTGGATCCAGTGTTAAGTGGCCCGGTGACAGTTTTTCAAATTTTACGAAATTCAGAGAGTATTTTTGTGCATAAAATACATTGGCACTGGGTGCCTTATAAAATTTAATTAAAGTATTGAATATAATTGTATCTTAGGGTATATACCTTAGGTATACTTACAACAATATAATAAAAACTTGATCGATAATTATTTCTTAATCGGTAATCTTATTATAAAAATAATAAATGTATGTATAAATACAATAAAAATCTAATAAACATATGAATAAACAATAATTGTTTATTATATGCAAATGAACAACGATTACTGATGCGTAATATTTTATTGTAAAGTTTTAACAAATATTTTCATTAGGTATCCAATACAAATATATGTTATACATATAGTGTCAGAGTTAGGTACCTAGGTACTATGTGTAACCACTAACCACTGCAATACGTCATAGGGAATTCGTGTATATCCATCGGGTTTTATTAAACAAATGTTGGAAATACGGAGAACGCGGCCGGGGCCCCTTATTTTTTTTTGTTTTTTTTTTGGGGGGGGCATACTTTTGGGATCCAAGGTAAAGAAAAATTACAAGATCTTAATAATTGGATCAATAATCAGATGCTTACCTATTATCTATAGTGTGAGAGTAGTCAGTAGTGCATACTAGTGCAAGTGTCAAGTAATAATTATAATAGTAACATTGTAAAAAGTAGAAGGATGTTTTTTGGAATAATTGCGCTACTTTAGGCTAAGTTAGGTTTTATCTCTCGCTTCAAAAATGATGGCTCAGACGACTGCACGAGGGCCCCACTTACCCGAAACTGCAGCGGCCCTGTTGTTGAATTCAGCGATCATGCAAATATTGCATTTAAAAATATGTATGATACTATGACGTACAATACTATTCGTTTATATGTCTATATCTGTTTAAATATATAAATAATATATATAACAATGATGAAGATAAGACATTTACTTTTGGAAGTTTACTTAAATAATATTATGCTTATGGCTTATGTATATTTGTTTTCAAAGTTTAAATTCTATAGTAAAAATATCATTTTAATTTTCGTAATTTTGTTTCTATGTAGGTAAACTGTAATATTATTGATAATTATTATTTATTGTTTTGTAGTTTTCATATATTGTTTCAATAGCTTCATAGTATATTATTAAACGAATTATTAGCTACCTACGTAATTATATTATTCGCTACATAAGGGCTCGCGTTAATATGAGATTTTTTTTTTTTTTATTTAAAAAAATGTTCTTTATATTATAATATACAAAGAAATATATCTACTCATTTAAGCCAAGGCTTGAGACGGAGTAGAGAGTTGACATATGAATATGA